GGCCTGTAGTTGGACAGAACAGTTGGATCCAGGTTATTTTTTTAAGAAGAGGCTGAACTATAGCTTGTTTAAAGCATGATGGGATGCAGCCTATAGCAAGGGACATATTAATTAATCTCAGGATAAAATGCCCAACAGTATTAAAAGTGCTTTTAAGCAAGCTTGGAGGGAGACAATCAGAGGGGCAGTGTGATGATCTTAGGTTACTAACTACCTCAGTCAAGTCATTAAGGGAGACGGGATCAAACTGCTCTAAGACAGCTGAGCACACAGGAGAAAGACTCGGATCTGAAGCAGCAGACGACAAGACAAAAGCCCTAATCGATAGGATCTTGTCATTAAAAAATGCTAGAAAATCATCGCACATACTTGGTGAAGAAATGACTCCAGCATTATCACATGAACTAAGAAAGCAATTAAGGGCATTAAAAAGTACCTGAGGCCTGTGACTGTTTACTGACACTAAGTTTGAGACAAATTTTGTCTTTGCAGTTTTTACAGCTTCTTGGAAAGCAGAAAGACGAGTCCTTAAAATCTGTAGGGAAACGTGCAATCTGTCCTTTTTCCATCTCCTTTCGGGGCGTCTGTAGTCACGTCTGAGGGAGCGCGTATGTTCATTCAACCACGGCTCTGATAAATCCTTAGCGTGCACAGTCCTGAGCAGAGCAATAGACTCCAAGATATCAGTGCAGGTAGAATGAAGAATGTCCGAAAGGTCCTCAACACTTTTACAGTTTGAGTTCATTATTCCAGAATCCATAAAGGCAGCAGAAAAAGCGAGCGCTTTTAGAGCATTAAGCGCTCGCTTTTTACACGCTGGGACGTACGGCTTATCTACCAAGCAGCGCAGCGTTAGAGTGAACAACACAGGAAGATGATCGGAGATGCGCAACTCGGATATTTCCGTGATGCACACATCGAGCCCGTGGGAGATCACAAAGTCCAGTGTGTGACCTTTTTCATGCCCGGGGCCGGTAACCCACTGGGTCAAGTTAAAAGAGTCAATAATATTTAAAAAGTCCTTGACCAAAAGTTTACAGTCATAGCAGACATGGATGTTAAAATCACCAAGGATTATTGCCATAAAACCTGAAAACTCTTTGATAAAATCCTTATTAAACTTGGGAGGACGGTATATGAGGGCACACAGCAAAGGCGGAGCAGAGTTTAGGTGTAACTCAAACAGTTGAAGTTCAAAACTAGAAAATGATGTAATGTTTGATGGCAATGAAATTGAGCATTGAACATGGTGGCTAAGCCTCCCCACCTACCAGAGGGCTGAGGGAGGCTGAAGAATGAGAAATTAGGAGGAACCAGTTCCGAAAAAGCTACAGACTCACCGGGTTGAAGCCATGTTTCTGTCAGAAACAGAAAGTCCAACTGTTGAATTCGTTTAATACAAACGTGTTGTTTGCTAATGATCTTACATTTAGTAAAGCCATTTGAAGTGTGTAGATCCTAACATCAGATGTTCCAGCTCACTTAAGTGTGCGAAGATTTCTGTGGTCCACACCGCATCCACGGGTCCGAGGCCGCTTAGGGAAATAGAATGCTGAGAGCGGGGGATCAAGTGTCGTGGGAGGTCCAGGGACAACAGGCAGGATCCATCTAAAGATGCACTCTGCTGGTCTACTAGTTCCACGAGAAGCACTGAGAAGAGCTCGGACTTTGATGAGTGTACCAGCCCGCTTTCCTTGTTTCCTTGGGCACTTCTTCCAGGAAGTGGTGTAGGAGTGTTGGCACAGATAAACCGGAATGCAGGGCTCAAAAAGTGGTGGAGGAGGCCCATAATCATCTCCTGTCTTCGTTTGTTTAAGAGCCAGGTCATACGATGCTTTGATTTGTAAGAATAAGAATAACTTTATTTATCCCGAGGGAAATTCTTTTGCCATGTACATGCTCAAAGCAGCAGGAGAGACAGAGGAACAGATAAATAAGATATACAATATATACACTATAGAGTAACTGGCGATTGTACACACGCAGAGCGAGGGCATTTTTGGATAAAATAGAAATGGATAAGGCTAGCGAAAGCCAAAGCAAAGCTAGCTGGCAAAGCAAAGCTAGCTGGCTTTGCTTTGGTTGGGGACACTGACACCGGGACCCAAACACTATCCCACCGCTGCAGCTACTGGCAGTGGGCACTGGAGCTGCTGACAGCCGCCGCCAGACACACAACTTTCCCGATTCCCAGCAACATAAATGTTCATTTTCATCCTTGTAAAATAAATGTTTTTCTCGTTCAAAGTGATCTTGTATTGTTATTTAGACACTTTTTTTATTTTATTTTAGAACAAAACAAGGTAATAAGCATTTAATGTACCCTATATGACATTTAGTGTGCTTCTGCCAAAAAAATAGTAATGTATCAAAATAAATGTCAGTGGTAATCTCTGGACCATCCAAAGGCCTAATTATAATAATAATCAAATATTACTTCGAATGTATTTTATGGAAAATATTTAAGTTTTTTGTTTTTTTAGCTAAAAACCCAGTGCGCTCATGTGACGAAACTGGGATTTAAAGGGTTAAAACAATGAAAATATAATTAAAACTTCATAGGAATATTTCAGGGAGAAGTAGTTTTAAAAGACTGACCCATTTAAAGTGGAAAAAAAAAATATATAATATTTTTATAGCACTTTTTGGGGCGTGGCCGTTTTGTGGCCAATCCATCAACATGGCTGGAGAGTTGGTAGTTATATACAGTCTGTTTAAGTGTGGTTAATCCGATAAACATTTGTAAGGGGGTGGCAGTTACTGTGAATTTACAGCAGTTACACAGTGATTAGTAATAAACAGGGCCAGTGCAGGGCTCTAGAGTGCGACCAATTTGGTCGCAAATGCGACCAAATTTTTCAGTGGTG